GTGTTGGGTTTGGGTTTTTTTGGTTTTTGGTTTTGGGTTTTGTGTGTGTACTCACCTATGTGTGCCTACTGGATCGAGCGTTGGCTCGTTGTTTAAAGCAGTGACTCCTGTCCTACTTCTCTGTCATGCCAGTTTTAAAGCTATGAATAGTGTTTGGTTCTACAATGTTTGCTTCCTTTAGTGCATTCCATTTCCCCACTACTCTCACGCTAAAAGAAAACTTCCTAACATCTCTGTGACTCATCTGAGCTTCCAGCTTCCAGCCATGTCCCTGTGTTCTGTTGGTATTCCGGTGTCAACGTTAAGTCTATTTCCACTCTGTCAAGCCCCTGGAGTATCTTGTATGCTGCTATCATATCTCACCGCTCTCTCTTTTTTTTAACGTCGTCAGGTTCAGTTCCTATTCCTGGTTCCTAATGTGTATCTTAAGATGATGTGGCTGCATATTCCATGTGGCTGCATGATGTGGGTGCTTACTCTAAGACTGGTCGCACGTAGGTAGTGTAAAGCGTTCTGAATGCCTCGTTACTTAGGTTTCTGAATGATGTTTTTAACTTTTGCTAGCGTCTCAATCGTTTTATGTGTGCCTCAGGAGTTAGTTTTGGTGTTATCTCTGCTCCTAGGTACCTTTCTTGAATCTGTTAGTCTCTCAACTTGGGTCATCTCCTCTTCTAACAATGGGAGCTGCTCAGGCTCTGTTGTGAACACTCTGTGGAAACTGGCATTCAGTGCCTCACAGATTTCTTTGTCGATTTCAGTATATATATGTGTGTGTGTGTGTGTGTGTGTGCGTGCGCGCACACACAAATACGTTTGTGCGCATTTGTGTGTGTTAGAGAACATCCCGAATGGCATTTGCCAAAATATTTTAAATAGGAGAAACTATTTTCTCCTATTTTCTATTATAGACAAGCTAGGTGTAAAAGTCTGTTCTCAGCCTTATCTTACATAAGACTGTTGCAGCACCTCAGCCACACTTATGTCTTCTGTTCCGTTGACCCTCTACTCACCTAGTTGTACTCACCTAGTTGTGTTTGCGGGGGTTGAGCTCTGGCTCTTTGGTCCCGCCTCTCAACTGTCAATCAACTGGTGTACAGATTCCTGAGCCTATTGGGCTCTGTCCTGGCCCTCTGCTGGCCTCCAGAGGTTGGGGTTCTCTGGTTGTTGAGAGTTTGACATTCTGTGAATGTTTGTGAGTCCGACTGATGTTAGAGAGGAGGGAGAAGGCTTGGTGTTCAGGAGGCGGAGGGAATTTAGTGCACCCGGAGGAGGAGACGGAAGAAGGAAGAAGGAAGAGAAGAAGCTTTTCGTCTGAGCGACATTTAGATGTCGTGAGTTCCTGTCAGCTCACTCTAGCTAACACATACTTTTTTTTCGATTTGACTTTAAAACACCATTGTGATGTGTGATAAAACACAAGATTCATCACTCCAGACCTGTAAACAAACAGACTCGAGACTGTGTAAGCTTAATGACTCCAGTAACTAAAGAACGAACACTTGTATGAATAAATGCAATTTAATCTGAGCAAGCACATGTGACCTCGCAGCTTAAATGACAAATAGAGTATCGCGAGGTTTATTTTGATTCTCATATAAATATTTCAACTGAAAATTGAAACTAGGTGTTTTAAGGGATTAAAATAAGCAGGCTCCTGACCTTTGTTGACACCTGTATCATGTGTCATGTGTTATTTTGAAACCACATTCTTTCAAGGCTCTCACTAGGCTCTCTCAAGACTCTCTCAAGGCTCTCAAGACTCTCTCAAGGCTCTCAAGGCTCTCTCAAAGCTTTTAAGACAACATTGCTGCTAAAGGATAAGTCAGCTCACCTTAAAAATGTGTTTACTAATAATAATTTCCTTTTCAACAATTGCCGGTTGAGTCTTACAATTTTATATATATATATATATATATATATATATATATATATATATATATATATATATATATATATATATATATATATATATATTATATGTTATCACCATTTCAAGGGTCTCCGCCCCCTTCACCAGACCCCCCCCTCTACCAGTACCCCTTTTGACGTATTTTTTTTTTATATATTCTATTATTTTGTTAATGATTGTAGCTTGATCGGGTTCCGGATCTCGCGTGATGAGATGGGGGGGGGGGAGGGCTGCCCCGGGGGGGGGGGGCTGGCCCCGCCCCGCCCAACACCCATTAGTGTTCTCAGGTAATGGGCGGCTAATGGCCAAGCGCAGACCATTAGTAATCGTACGTGGGAGGGGCTCGTATTACAATTAGTCTAGCATCAACCATTAGAGCAGCGAAGTGGAATTATGGAGCTTATAATGGGCCGGTGTTTTGCAGGTGTTGTTAATGGTCAAGTAATAGTCGAGCGTCGATTATTAATGGTCGTTGAGAGTGAATAGTCCTCGTCCACTTCAGCTATTTTCAAGAGATTCGAGTTTGGCCAATATTGTGTTGAAGGGTAACTCGTGGTGGTGGTAACATTATAGTTTTGGAGTTGTTGGCATTTGCTATATGTTTATTTTTTTATCTAGGTATTTGAATTTCCCGCTCTTGGCAGATTGTCTTCACCGAGTTAGGTGAAACGTCACCAGTGACGTATTTTCATCAACCAATGATAGTTTGTTCAGGTCAAACGTCACGAGTGACGTGTTTTCATCAACCAATGATAGTTTGTTCAGGTCAAACGTCACGAGTGACGTGTTTTCATCAACCAATGATAGTTTGTTCAGGTCAAACGTCACGAGTGACGTGTTTTCATCAACCAATGATAGTTTGTTCAGGTCAAACGTCACGAGTGACGTGTTTTCATCAACCAATGATAGTTTGTTCAGGTGAAACGTCACCAGTGACGTATTTTTCTCTCTACCAATCACAGTCTCCCCATCTAAAACGTCATGGGTTACGGGGTTTTTGGTCATCCAATGATGACAATGTTTCTCTCCCCAAACCCGATGCGCTGTGGGTATTATTTTGCAGAATGTAACGATCAGAGGGTCGAAAAGTCGTTCATTTATCTCTCCTGCGAGAGAATATATATATATATTGTATATATATATATATATATATATATATATATATATATATATATATATATATATATATATATATATATATATGTCGTACCTAGTAGCCAGAACGCACTTCTCAGCCTACTATGCAAGGGCCGATTTGCCTAATAAGCCAAGTTTTCCTGAATTAATATATTTTCTCGATTTTTTTTCTTACGAAATGATAAAGCTACCCATTTCATTATGTATGATGTCAATTTTTTTTTATTGGAGTTAAAATTAACGTAGATATATGACCGAACCTAACCAACCCTACCTAACCTAACCTATCTTTATAGGTTAGGTTCGGTTAGGTAGCCGAACAAGGTAGGTTAGGTTAGGTTAGGTAGGTTAGGTAGTCGAAAAAACATTAATTCATGAAAACTTGGCTTGTTAAGCAAATCGGGCCTTGCATAGTAGGCTCAGAAGTGCGTTCTGGCTACTAGGTACGACATATATATATATATTATATATAAGACAATGTCTGCTGTCTATTTGTCCCTCGCAGAGAGGCCAGACGCCTCTGGATAGCAGCACTAAAATTAGCAAAATTAAAAGGGATTTTATTGGGAGTGTCATGGGGGTGGGGGTGTGATTTAGACTCCTTGGAGGGGGGGGAGGAGTTTCTCAGATATTTCTGGTTGTTGGAGGACCTTGTGTGGGAGTTGGGTGCGTGAGGAGGGGGGGGGGAGAGTTATCGTGGGAGAGAGAGATAGCATGATAACACCAGCCAAAGAATTATTAAGGTTTACGTTAAGCCTTTGTGAATAGAGTATTTGATCCCCCTTTTAAAATATCAAGAGGGTTAGAGAATTATCCCAGGGCATTGGAAGATTATATTGATATGCAGAGTGGCCAAGCTGCTGCTGCTGAGCTGTGTACTCCCCTAGTTGTGCTTGCGGGGGGTTGAGCTCTGGCTCTTTCATATATTCAGTAGCGAGTCTCACGTAGGTTGTAAATAGGACCAGGAAATCTCCTCGTCCAAGTTACTGAAGACCAGTGTTTCACTTGCTGCTGATGGTATTGTGGTAATGTGTGCCTCTGGTATGATATTTGGGGCTCTGTCTTTACCCAAGGCTTTTGGGGCTCTGTCTTTCCCCAGGGCTTTTGTGGCTCTGTCTTCTCCCTGGGCTTTCTCTTTTTCAGAAGTAAGACTCTGGCTCCCCTTCAACATGTATTGCTATTCAGGTTTACTCACGGCTGTTTCAATCCTCATAACCTTGCATTTAGCTGGGTTAAATTCTAGCAGCCATTTCTTTCAGATCACCTCTGAATGGGTCCGGATTCGTATACTGGCACTCGCATGTTTGGATATTATGCTGGTATACCTAACTCTCTCTTGAGGGAATCGAACCTCTAGATTATTGATGGCAAAATTTAATGCTTCCACACACCCTTAGGTTTCTAAATTTGAAATTTCTAAATAAATGTAAATCTAAATTTGACTTCAAGTATATTGAGTCCGCTTCCAAAGGTTTCTTATCAGCAGCTTGGGATAATCTTCTGATTTTCTTGGATAGTTTCAAGCCTTGGATAGTGTAACTATCCTGCGAGTCGTTCATACTCATCCCTCTCTTGAGTGACACGGAGTGGGATAGACGGAGCCACAAGCTGGAGACGCCCCTCGTTTTCATCCCCCCCCCACCCCTTTGTTTCCCCCTTTGATGATAAGACAACGTTGCAGCAACGTTCCTGTAACGTTGTGTTTATTGAGAGCTCGGTCTCCCGGTGGCCCTTCTAAGCATCAGGAAGCATCAGCATCTTTTGAAGCATCATGGGGGAGATGATGCTTCCTTGTGGGCTGTAGCTGGACGCCGCGACGGGTCTGTTTGGGCAGTATTCCGCGCACCCGACCGATGCATTGTGGGGGTGGGGGTGGGGGGGGAAATTCGGTCTATTATGTTTAATTGACAGTTTAAAAGGGTATATTGCCGCGTCAGCTCTTGTCAGCGATGTGTGTGTGTGTGTGTGTGTGTGTGTGTGTGTGTGTGTGTGTGTGTGTGTGTGTGTGTGTGTGTGTGTGTGTTTCATACATAGCGTTTATGTGAGTGAATATGTTGTGTCTTCTCTCCACTGTGGTGGTGGTGGCAGTGGCTGCCCTCCACTGTGGTGGTGGTGGTGGTGGCTGCCCTCCACTGTGGTGGTGGTGGCTGCCCTCCACTGTGGTGGTGGTGGTGGCTGCCCTCCACTGTGGTGGTGGTGGTGGCTGCCCTCCACTGTGGTGGTGGTGGTGGTGGCTGCCCTCCACTGTGGTGGTGGTGGCTGCCCTCCACTGTGGTGGTGGTGGCTGCCCTCCACTGTGGTGGTGGTGGCTGCCCTCCACTGTGGTGGTGGTGGCTGCCCTCCACTGTGGTGGTGGTGGCTGCCCTCCACTGTGGTGGTGGGGGCTGCCCTCCACTGTGGTGTGGTGGCTGCCCTCCACTGTGGTGGTGGTGGCTGCCCTCCACTGTGGTGGTGGTGGCTGCCCTCCACTGTGGTGGTGGTGGCAGTGGCTGCCCTCCACTGTGGTGGTGGTGGCAGTGGTTGCCCTCCACTGTGGTGGTGGTGGTGGCAGTGGCTGCCCTCCACTGTGGTGGTGGTGGCAGTGGCTGCCCTCCACTGTGGTGGTGGCAGTGGCTGCCCTCCACTGTGGTGGTGGTGGCAGTGGCTGCCCTCCACTGTGGTGGTGGTGGTGGCAGTGGCTGCCCTCCACTGTGGTGGTGGTGGTGGCAGTGGCTGCCCTCCACTGTGGTGGTGGTGGCAGTGGCTGCCCTCCACTGTGGTGGTGGTGGTGGCAGTGGCTGCCCTCCACTGTGGTGGTGGTGGTGACAGTGGCTGCCCTCCACTGTGGTGGTGGTGGTGGCAGTGGCTGCCCTCCACTGTGGTGGTGGTGGTGACAGTGGCTGCCCTCCACTGTGGTGGTGGTGGTGGCAGTGGCTGCCCTCCACTGTGGTGGTGGTGGTGACAGTGGCTGCCCTCCACTGTGGTGGTGGTGGTGACAGTGGCTGCCCTCCACTGTGGTGGTGGTGGCAGTGGCTGCCCTCCACTGTGGTGGTCGTGGTGGCAGTGGCTGCCCTCACTTACCTCGAGAAGAGGAGATAAACGACAAAACTTGGGCTCTTCATTTTTTTTTTACATTGTGGGTGAGCTCGGACATGTGAAGTGAGGGAGGTGAGAGAGGGAGGTGAGAGAGGGAGGGAGGTGAGGGAAGGAGGTGAGAGAGGGAGGGAGGAAAGGGAGGGAGGGACTGAGGGATTATACTGGGATTTACGAATATATTTTGACTATATTTATTGTCCACTACGACGCTTGCAGTCCTCCATCCTGGGATAAAGATCACCGAAACCTGAAACGTTTTCTACTAGTATGAACAAAAATGTGCGCAGTTTGTCCACATCTCTTCGTCCTGGGATTACAAATCACATATATTTATCCCAGTACGACCAGAGAATAAACAAAATAATGCTTCTGTTGATCCTAGGAGAAAAAAACAAAGGTCCCTACCGCGCAACAAGTTTGTTGCCATAATGTGGGGCCCGAATAATGAATATAAATATTACCCCTGTTCATCCTGGGACAAAAATTACATATCCTCGCCCCGTAATACATTTTTTTTCCACTAGGATAATGAAAATTGATGACGTCCTTCATCCTGGGGGGAAAAGAACTCGGAGCACGCGGTAAAGAGCACCCACATATCTCGCTGTATATTATTTAGTCTTTTTTTATGTATTTTCTCTTGTTTTGTGTCTCTTATTCTCCTGTTTTATGGTTCTTCTTCTCTTTGAATTATTATTTTTTTGTTGTCTTTTACGTCAATGGGGATAATTAGTATTATTGAGGTAATTACTGGAGCGGGACAGGGTTCGAACCAGCGTCCCGGGTACTCCCAGGCACGCGGCTCACCCCTGCACCACAACAAGGCTAAGACGCACGTCTGGGAGAACACCCACAACGCTGGTTCGATCCTCTCCCAACCTCCCCCAACGATCTAATCATACACCCATCACCTTATTTTGATTTCCTTGTGAATTATATTACTATAATTATTATAATCCAAAAAAACAGACTAGATTATAAAAAAAATATCCTCCAAGCCCCAAACACAAGCATCAAACAGCTGTGTGTGTGGTTGAGCGGGACCCTGTGAGCGGTCATTAAAATTCAGAGTATTAGTGATGCCGGGACCAGAGGGCCTTGAGGGCCCAGAGGGTGCCAGGGGGGGCCAGGGGGGGCCAGGGGGGGCCAGGGGGTGCCAGAGGGTGGCCAGAGGACCCAGAGGGGGGGTCAGAGGGCCCCCTGGAGCCTGGCAAGCATCAGACCAACATTTTCTGCCGTAATTAAATAGTAAAGAAAACCCTTTCCTTTAGAGGCGGTGCTGAGGGTCTGAGAGAGCGCTCTCTTGCTCCTTGGTGACGTCGTCTCTGTGGGCGTCTGGAAGGTGCGTACGCCGTCTCTGGGGGAAGTTTACAAGTGCCTCTGTTGTCTCTGGGGGAGGTTTATAAGTGCCTCTGTTGTCTCTGGGGGAGGTTTATAAGTGCCTCTGTTGTCTCTGGGGGAGGTTTATAAGTGCCTCTGTTGTCTCTGGGGGAAGTTTACAAGTGCCTCTGTTGTCTCTGGGGAGACAGGAAAGTGCGTATATCGTCTCCACAGAGACCTCAAACTGCGTATATTGTTTAGAAGACCGTGAAATACGCAGCCTCCTCTCCCCCGCGCCCAAGCACCTTGGCAGCCCCAGCACGCGAGCGCTCTCAGAACTCAACCTCCATATAGGAGCTTTGATCTCCCAGGAGCCTTATCTGGACTCTTGTAGCTTTGATCAAGGTGACTAAATGTGTCAAGGTTAGTGCCTTACCCTCTGGCTGAAACCTGGGGAACGATGATGGACCAAAACGATGCAATTGGAGGTCAAGACAATAGGCAATTTCTTGGTGAAAATTGTGTAGGTTTTGATCAATTTCCAATTTGGATGCCTTAAATTAAGACATTTATGCTCCTTAAATGTGGTTACAATGAATTTATTTCATATAAAATAATTCTCGGTTAATTGGATAATAATATTTCTTTTACAAATATGCATCATCTTATGAGGTTTGGAGTTGCCAGTGTTGGTGGTGGGTGATGGGGGCGTCAGTGTTGGTGGTGGGTGATGGGGGCGTCAGTGTTGGTGGTGGGTGATGGGGGCGTCAGTGTTGGTGGTGGGTGATGGGGGCGTCAGTGTTGGTGGTGGGTGATGGGGGCGTCAGTGTTGGTGGTGGGTGATGGGGGCGTCAGTGTTGGTGGTGGGTGATGGGGGCGTCAGTGTTGGTGGTGGGTGATGGGGGCGTCAGTGTTGGTGGTGGGTGATGGGGGCGCCAGTGTTGGTGGTGGGTGATGGGGGCGTCAGTGTTGGTGGTGGGTGATGGGGGCGTCAGTGTTGGTGGTGGGTGATGGGGGCGTCAGTGTTGGTGGTGGGTGATGGGGGCGTCAGTGTTGGTGGTGGGTGATGGGGGCGTGACAGTGTTGGTGGTGGGTGATGGGGGTGACAGTGTTGGTGGTGGGTGATGGGGGCGTCAGTGTTGGTGGTGGGTGATGGGGGTGACAGTGTTGGTGGTGGGTGATGGGGGTGACAGTGTTGGTGGTGGGTGATGGGGGCGTCAGTGTTGGTGGTGGGTGATGGGGGCGACAGTGTTGGTGGTGGGTGATGGGGGTGTCAGTGTTGGTGGTGGGTGATGGGGGCGTCAGTGTTGGTGGTGGGTGATGGGGGCGACAGTGTTGGTGGTGGGTGATGGGGGCGACAGTGTTGGTGATGGGTGATGGGGGCGACAGTGTTGGTGGTGGGTGATGGGGGCGACAGTGTTGGTGGTGGGTGATGGGGGCGTCAGTGTTGGTGGTGGGTGATGGGGGCGTCAGTGTTGGTGGTGGGTGATGGGGGCGTCAGTGTTGGTGGTGGGTGATGGGGGCGTCAGTGTTGGTGGTGGGTGATGGGGGCGTCAGTGTTGGTGGTGGGTGATGGGGGCGTCAGTGTTGGTAGTGGGTGATGGGGGTGACAGTGTTGGTGGTGGGTGATGGGGGTGACAGTGTTGGTGGTGGGTGATGGGGGTGACAGTGTTGGTGGTGGGTGATGGGGGTGACAGTGTTGGTGGTGGGTGATGGGGGTGTTGGTGGTGGGTGATGGGGGTGACAGTGTTGGTGGTGGGTGATGGGGGTGACAGTGTTGGTGGTGGGTGATGGGGGTGGTTGGTGGGGGTGATGGGGGTGACAGTGTTGGTGGTGGGTGATGGGGTGTTGGTGGTGGGTGGGTGGGTGATGGGGGTGATGGTTGGTGGTGGTGAGTGTGTGGTGGGTGATGGTGTTGGTGGTGATGGGGGCGATGGGGGTGGTGTTGGTGGTGGGTGATGGGGGCGACAGTGTTGGTGGTGGGTGATGGGGGCGACAGTGTTGGTGGTGGGTGATGGGGGCGACAGTGTTGGTGGTGGGTGATGGGGGCGACAGTGTTGGTGGTGGGTGATGGGGGCGACAGTGTTGGTGGTGGGTGATGGGGGCGTCAGTGTTGGTGGTGGGTGATGGGGGCGACAGTGTTGGTGGTGGGTGATGGGGGCGACAGTGTTGGTGGTGGGTGATGGGGGCGACAGTGTTGGTGGTGGGTGATGGGGGCGACAGTGTTGGTGGTGGGTGATGGGGGCGTCAGTGTTGGTGGTGGGTGATGGGGGCGACAGTGTTGGTGGTGGGTGATGGGGGGTGACAGTGTTGGTGGTGGGTGATGGGGGCGACAGTGTTGGTGGTGGGTGATGGGGGTGACAGTGTTGGTGGTGGGTGATGGGGGCGACAGTGTTGGTGGTGGGTGATGGGGGTGACAGTGTTGGTGGTGGGTGATGGGGGCGACAGTGTTGGTGGTGGGTGATGGGGGCGTCAGTGTTGGTGGTGGGTGATGGGGGCGACAGTGTTGGTGGTGGGTGATGGGGGTGACAATGTTGGTGGTGGGTGATGGGGGCGACAGTGTTGGTGGTGGGTGATGGGGGCGACAGTGTTGGTGGTGGGTGATGGGGGCGACAGTGTTGGTGGTGGGTGATGGGGGTGACAGTGTTGGTGGTGGGTGATGGGGGTGACAGTGTTGGTGGTGGGTGATGGGGGTGACAGTGTTGGTGGTGGGTGATGGGGGTGACAGTGTTGGTGGTGGGTGATGGGGGTGACAGTGTTGGTGGTGGGTGATGGGGGCGACAGTGTTGGTGGTGGGTGATGGGGGCGACAGTGTTGGTGGTGGGTGAGGATCTAACACAAGATAAGGAAGGACAATAGGAAGTGAGCTTCTAAATGATTAATAACCTTCTCTCACCAGCCCCGGCCCTTGTGTTACAGTCCTTCATGTGTTGCTCTCTCTCTCTCTCTCTCTCTCTCTCTCTCTCTCTCTCTCTCTCTCTCTCTCTCTCTCTCTCTCTCTCTCTCTCTCTCTCTCTCTCTCTCTCTCTCTCTCTCTCACACACACACACACACACACACACACACACACACACACACACACAAAGCTAGAATATGCAGCTGTTGTGTGGTGCCCATATCTTAAGAAGCACATCAACAAACTGGAAAAGGTGCAAAGACATGCTACGAAGTGGCTCCCAGAACTGAAGGGCAAGAGCTACGAGGAGAGGTTGGAAGCATTAAACATGCCAAAACTAGAAGACAGAAGAAAAAGAGGTGATATGATCACTACATACAAAATAGTAACAGGAATTGATAAAATCGACAGGGAAGATTTCCTGAGACCTGGAACTTCAAGAACAAGAGGTCATAGATTTAAACTAGCAAAACACAGATGCCGAAGAAATATAAGAAAATTCACCTTCGCAAACAGAGTGGTAGACGGTTGGAACAAGTTAAGTGAGAAGGTGGTGGAGGCCAAGACCGTCAGTAGTTTCAAAGCGTTATATGACAAAGAGTGCTGGGAAGACGGGACACCACGAGCGTAGCTCTCATCCTGTAACTACACTTAGGTAATTACACTTAGGTAATTACACACACAAAGTGTACCAACTCACTTTCTTTACAACTGAAGTCTCTAAAACTGGATATTTCTTGCCGTATTTCATTCATTTATTTGAATGGTCACTAACTACTTAATCCGTATTGACCCCGCGTCTCCTGAATTACCCCTTCGAGTGCTCGTTAAGACGACCAAGAGATCGTTCCGGCAATCACCCAGTATTGGCTCGTGAAGAGGCTAATGGCACCCTTACAGCCCTGTGCTATATGGTCCATAATTCACCTCTACACTCAAGACGCCTCTAATATATGGTAGAATAGCTCATATGTGTTGTTGTGGCTCGTTAAGGCTCCAAAAGTCACCCTTATGACCCGTCTTCACTAGGGAGGTTTTTGAAGCACGTAGGTATCATAGGAACTGTCACCGGGCCAGGCGAAAGTCACCCTTAAATCGCCGCTCATTAAGGCTCAGGTTGCCATTGTCTCAGCACCATTTTCATTAAATGTAAATTCGGTGTTGGACATAAAATATGAGAATCTTAGATTGCTTCCCGTCCTCCGGGGGTCAGTGCCCCCCAGTACCCGGGGGTCACTGTCCCTCAGTGCCCGGGGGTGTCTGCCCCCCCTAGTACCCGGGGGTGTCTGCCCCCCCCCCTTGTACCCGGGGGTGTCTGCCCCCCCCCCAGTACCCGGGGGGAGACACTGAGAGAACTTAGATCATAACAGATCTGTGGAGAGTCAGAAACGGAGGCAGTGAGTGACAGTCTGGTAGACTGACTGACTGGGAATGACTGACTGAATTGCTAAGACTAATTGCCTCGCCTGACAGTGCTGACATAATCAAGGAAGACTGCAGACTGTTGTGTTTACACTGTGAGAGGAGGAGACATCAGAGGTAAGGAGAGGAGTGCCGCAAGGTCCGTCAAGGGAGGGACTCGTCCTGTTCCGAATACGGTAAATCTAAGCCACTTGGCAGAGGTGTAAGGATTGGCGATGGATGCATAGAACCATCCACATATCCGTCAACAGGAAGCCAGATGCCACCAGCCCCTGGTCGAGGACCGCACCGTGGGGACGATAAGCCACGTAATCATCTCAAGATAGCCTATCCTGCTCTTCGACCTGGTCACTATGCCCCATTCTCTATTCTCCAAGGACGGTGGTAATCCACCACGACGCTCCTTCAGTCAATACATTTCTCAATGACCCGCCTCAGGTCACACAGGGTATTCAGATGACCTTAGATGACCTCAGATGACCTGGGGCTTGCCTGTGGTCACTGGCTCGCCCCCTCAACGACACCTGTGGGTCAAAGGTCACGCAGGTCGTGTAATCACTCCACAAAGCTTTGATAATATAGTTAATGTTGATCGACCTTAATACCAGCTTAGTGATTTCTCACTCAGATTTCATCGCAGTCAGAACAAATGATTTACAATACTGTTGTTGCAAGCAATGTTCTACGGAGCCTTCAGTGCTCTTTTATTGAGGAGGAGGAGGAGTTGGGGGGGGGGGGGCGGAAGAGGAAGAGCCGACGGTGACAAAAATCTAGCAATGGAAAATTATATGCGGAAGAAAAAAAATTCTTCGTCCCTTTGATCTGTTCAGGAAATTTGTGCTGCTTTCAAAGCGGAATCTAGTGTGGTGGTGGGGGGGGGGGGCGATAATAATCCCCGAACACAGCAGTAATCCCTGGACACAGCAGTAATCTCAGGACACAGCAGTAATCCCCGGACACAGCAGTAATCTCAGGACACAGCAGTAATCCCTGGACACAGCAATAATCCCTGGACACAGCAATAATCCCTGGACACAGCAATAATCCCTGGACACAGCATTAATCCCTGGACACAACGGTAATCCCCGGACACAGCAGTAATCCCCGGACACAACGGTAATCCCCGGACACAGCAGTAATCCCCGGACACAGCAGTAATCCCTGGACACAGCAGTAATCCCCTGACACAGCAGTAATCCCCTGACACAGCAGTAATCCCTGGACACAGCAAGAATCCCCGGACACAGCATTAATCCCTGGACACAACGATAATCCCCGGACACAGCATTAATCCCCGGACACAGCAGTAATCCCTGGACACAGCAAGAATCCCCGGACACAGCATTAATCCCTGGACACAACGGTAATCCCCGGACACAGCAGTAATCCCCGGACACAGCATTAATCCCCGGACACAGCAGTAATCCCGGACACAGCAGTAATCCCGGACACAGCAGTAATCCCCTGACACAGCAGTAATCGCCGGTGCAGGTCGTATGGGAAAGCTGAATATAGTCACCGTCGGTTTCTCGGAATTCAATTTGGGATTGAGAGAAATCCTTCCAGCGGTCCTTGTTTGTGTTATGGGGTGTTATGGGGTGTTGTGGGGTGTTATGGGGTGTTGTGGGGTGTTATGTGGTGTTATGGGGTGTTGTGGGGTGTTATGGGGTTTTGTGGGGTGTTATGGGGTGTTATGGGGTGTTATGGGGTGTTATGGGGTGTTGTGGGGTGTTATGGGGTGTTGTGGGGTGTTATGTGGTGTTATGGGGTGTTGTGGGGTGTTATGGGGTGTTGTGGGGTGTTATGGGGTGTTTTGGGGTGTTTTGGGGTGTTTTGGGGTGTTGTGGGGTGTTATGGGGTGTTGTGGGGTGTTATGGGGTGTTGTGGGGTGTTATGGGGTGTTATGGGGTGTTGTGGGGTGTTATGGGGTGTTGTGGGGTGTTATGGGGTGTTGTGGGGTGTTATGTGGTGTTATGGGGTGTTGTGGGGTGTTATGGGGTGTTGTGGGGTGTTATGGGGTGTTGTGGGGTGTTATGGGGTGTTATGGGGTGTTGTGGGGTGTTATGGGGTGTTGTGGGGTGTTATGGGGTGTTATGGGGTGTTGTGGGGTGTTATGGGGTGTTGTGGGGTGTTATGGGGTGTTATGGGGTGTTGTGTGGTGTTATGGGGTGTTGTGGGGTGTTGTGTGGTGTTGTGGGGTGTTATGGGGTGTTATGGGGTGTTGTGGGGTGTTATGGGGTGTTGTGGGGTGTTATGGGGTGTTATGGGGTGTTGTGGGGTGTTATGGGGTGTTGTGGGGTGTTGTGTGGTGTTGTGGGGTGTTATGGGGTGTTATGGGGTGTTGTGGGGTGTTATGGGGTGTTATGGGGTGTTGTGGGGTGTTATGGGGTGTTGTGGGGTGTTGTGTGGTGTTGTGGGGTGTTATGGGGTGTTATGGGGTGTTGTGGGGTGTTATGGGGTGTTATGGGGTGTTGTGGGGTGTTATGGGGTGTTGTGGGGTGTTGTGGGGTGTTATGGGGTGTTGTGGGGTGTTGTGGGGTGTTATGGGGTGTTGTGGGGTGTTATGGGGTGTTATGGGGTGTTGTGGGGTGTTCTGGGGTGTTGTGGGGTGTTATGGGGTGTTGTGGGGTGTTATGGGGTGTTGTGGGGTGTTGTGGGGTGTTATGGGGTGTTGTGGGGTGTTGTGGGGTGTTATGGGGTGTTGTGGGGTGTTGTGGGGTGTTGTGGGGTGTTATGGGGTGTTGTGGGGTGTTGTGGGGTGTTGTGGGGTGTTGTGGGGTGTTGTGGGGTGTTGTGGGGTGTTATGGGGTGTTGTGGGGTGTTGTGGGGTGTTATGGGGTGTTGTGGGGTGTTGTGGGGTGTTATGGGGTGTTGTGGGGTGTTGTGGGGTGTTGTGGGGTGTTATGGGGGTGTTGTGGGGTGTTGTGGGGTGTTGTGGGGTGTTATGGGGGTGTTGTTTAACACACTGAAGCAAATGTTCAACATTACAGGATACACTACACAGTTGTACACAGTGACTGTTGTCTTCCAATTTATTGTGTTCTTTATCCTCCGTATTTCTTCCCCTCCTTTCCTCCTTTTCGTTTTAGCAACTTGTCTCTGTCTTTCAAACCTCAGGTTATTTTTCTCGCTCGTACATTTTGTTTTCCCCTTTCTATATCTTTGATGTGATTTCTCTTTTCCTGACTGTCTTTCCTCCTAGGTTTTCCCTCCCACATACACGCACAGGGAAGATGATGCTTAACCAGATACTTCATCAACTTTATCAGATACTTCATCAACTTTATCAGATACTCCCTTACCCCCAGGTACAGGTAATGGAGTATCTAGTAAACGTGGTGAAGTATCTGATAAAGTTGATGAAGTATCTGATAAAGTTGATGAAGTATCTGATAAAGTTGATGAAGTATCTGATAAAGTTGATGAAGTATCTGATAAAGTTGATGAAGTATCTGATAACGTTGATGGAGTATCTGATAAAGTTGATGAAGTATCTGATAAAGTTGATGAAGTATCTGATAAAGTTGATGAAGTATCTGATAAAGTTGATGAAGTATCTGATAAAGTTGATGAAGTATCTGGTAAAGTTGATGAAGTATCTGGTAAAGCATCATCGTCCTTGTGGTTAGATGGGCCACAGGTTGAGGTCGTACACACACACACAACACATACACAACACACACATACACAACACACACATACACAACACACATAAGCTGCCCAAAGCGCCAGAATCCACTTTTAGAATTCCATCATCAAGAATAAATCACATTCTGCGTTCACAAGCACGTACATGCAGTGTGTATCGGGTCATACATATGTACGCAGGCATTCGTTGGCACCGATACACGGCGGACAAGCATGAACCCCGCGCCCAAGGGTGCCACCTGTGTACACATGCTGGGGGGGGGAGGGGTCCTGAGCAGGTTGGAATGGTTGGTGGGGAGTTATGGGGGTGGATTGTCTTTGTGTTGTGGTGGTTTTGTGTGTGTGTGTGTGTGTGTGTGTGTGTGTGTGTGTGTGTGTGTGTGTGTGTGTGTGTGTGTGTGTGTGTGTGTGTAAGTGCACTCCTCAAGCAGGTACTCACCTGTGTGTGCTCTTTCATAGCTGTGCTCATAAAGGTGTGGCTTAACTCTACTGCTATGCCACACTTTTGAAAGTATTTGTTGTTTTAATGTGATTTTGTTTTCGTTTGTCATTAATATACGACAATAATCAAATGCGCCGACGATCGTAAGACGCTTCATCCGCTTGAGGCTGTGTTCACTCGGGAGCTGACACCAGTAGTCAACATCAGATGAGTTCGACTTGGAGCATACAGTTGTTTGATGGTCCTCCGTTGACCCGGAGGGAAGATGGAAGATCTAGCGGACAACTAGATCAACTAGATCAACACTCTGTCCTTCACCGCTTCCTACGATTAAAAGGGGGTTAGGTGACTCGTAGAGTGAGGTGTCCTCACGGTTATACATGTTTAGATTTCTCCTTGTAAGTCTTTACGGGATCACCATAACCCGTGCTACATGGACATTTCGTTCTGAGTAGCTAAATCTAAAACAATAACAACAACCTTGTAAGCCCCGCTCCTGTGCCAGGTAAGTCCACTACGTCGGACTTGACGCTTTTACGTGACGTATTAGTGACGTTTGTTAGACTTATTGATACATATCTATTTTGTCTTGTGTTTCAGGTAAGGAGGAGGGAGGGTTTCGCGGCTCCGAGAGGACTCAGTTTCTCTCTAAAAGGTAAATGTTTTCTGTACGTGTGTGGGCATGATCCCGCGCGGTGGGTGAGGCGCTCTGGTGTGTGTGGACTGACCTGCGTCAGCTGCGTCAGCTGCGTCAGCTGCTTACACTGTCTGACACCCTAACTGAACCTCATCTGATATGTGGCAGCCTCAGCTGCTGACCCACGCACCGTAGCTGGAAACTCACTAGACCCATCCCAACACCAAAATATTTTACCTCACAGTGAAGTGAGTAAAATAGACACGAAATATTGAGTGATGTGGGCTTCGAACTGGGTTAAAATGGTTTGAAAATCGAGTCAGGAAGCCGGAGACGCAGCAGAAGAGCCGTGAAATTTTTCTGCTGCGCTGGGAACTATTATTATTATTATTATTATTATTATTATTATTATTATTATTATTATTATTATTATTATTATTATTTATTTATTTACGTGGACTCTAGGCGACTCGAACCCCGGGGATTCGAGTCACGCGTGTGGGGCCGAGGCTCTATATTGACTGGGCTATTAAGTGGTTTTAATAAGAAAAGATCCCAGAAACAACTAACTGCTGCCCAACTGGAATTTTCGACTTTCCCCTGACTACTACTGAAGCTCAGAGGCATTTAGCGATCACTAATTCCACGACTCATGAAGCAGTTGTTGCTTCTGAAATTTTTTCTTATTAAGACTTCTCAATAGCCCAGTCAATAGAGCCTTACACGCTTGGGTTCGCAGTTCGAGTCACCTAGAGCCCAGGTGAATTAATTGTTTATGTCCAGTGAAGTGTGGATGATATTATTATTATTTGTATTATTTTGCTGTACAAAATGGACTGACAGAGTAGTAGATGGAGAAGAGAAGGAAATATACCAAATATTAAACAACACACACACACCTGTCACACACACACACACCTGTCACTCGTCCCACACACACACCTGTCACACACACACACACACACACCTGTCACTCGTCCCACACACACACCTGTCACTCCTCCCACACACACACACACCTGTCACTCCTCACACACCTACACCAGCTTTTGAGTCTTCACTCGTAAATGGAATTCCGCGTTGCATTTTCTTCTCCAACAATTATGTTTCCTGGCCGCATATTTTATATGAAATCATCTCAGCCTAAAAATGCCACAGTTTTCACAACGGTCGCAACAGCAAACAGCATCTCGCCTGCTCAGGAAATTGCATCATTTCCATTCCGGAAGTGTTGAAAGCCCCCCATTTTTATGCAAAGATTTTAATACCTGTATCGCTGTCGCCCCATTTGTAATTGTGATATTTAATTGTTTTTTTCATAATATGATTGTTGATCTGTTAACTGTTATCACGGACCAAGATTTGAATGGCTGAAGATATGTTCATTGTTGTGAGAGACAGACAACGAAACAGACAGACAGATAGACAGACAGACAGACAGATAGGCTGATGGAGTGAAATGCGACAGACAGATGCGGAACTTGACGGGAAATCCTCAACAAGTCAACGTCACAAATAAGGTTATAAATTTCCGTAAAACTGTCGTCAAGGAGGGTGGTGGCTTGGTGGAGGGTGGTGGCTTGGGGGAGGGTGGTGGCTTGGTGGAGGGTGGTGGCTTGGTGGAGGGTGGTGGCTTGGTGGAGGGTGGTGGCTTGGTGGTGGGTGGTGGCTTGGTGGAGGGTGGTGGCTTGGTGGAGGGTGGTGGCTTGGGGGAGGGTGGTGGCTTGGTGGAGGGTGGTGGCTTGGGGGAGGGTGGTGGCTTGGGGGAGGGTGGTGGCTTGGTGGAGGGTGGTGGCTTGGTGGAGGGTGGTGGCTTGGTGGAGGGTGGTGGCTTGGTGGAGGGTGGTGGCTTGGTGGAGGGTGGTGGCTTGGTGGAGGGTGGTGGCTTGGTGGAGGGTGGTGGCTTGGTGGAGGGTGGTGGCTTGGTGGAGGGTGGTGGCTTGGTGGAGGGTGGTGGCTTGGTGGAGGGTGGTGGCTTGGTGGAGGGTGGTGGCTTGGTGGAGGGTGGTGGCTTGGTGGAGGGTGGTGGCTTGGTGGAGGGTGGTGGCTTGGTGGAGGGTGGTGGCTTGGTGGAGGGTGGTGGCTTGGGAGGGTGGTGGCTTGGTGGAGGGTGGTGGCTTGGTGGTGGCTTGGGGGAGGGTGGTGGCTTGGTGGAGGGTGGTGGCTTGGTGGAGGGTGGTGGCTTGGTGGAGGGTGGTGGCTTGGGGGAGGGTGGTGGCTTGGTGGAGGGTGGTGGCTTGGGGAGGGTGGTGGCTTGGGTGGAGGGTGGTGGCTTGGGGGAGGGTGGTGGCTTGGTGGAGGGTGGTGGCTTGGTGGAGGGTGGTGGCTTGGTGGAGGGTGGTGGCTTGGGGGGAGGAAGCAGATAAAGGTGAAGGGTTCAAGAAAGATGATAAGGAGAGAGAGCGTGGTTTACACAGGTCAGATGGCCAAGACTTGCGGGTTTACAAAGGTTCACACAGGGTTTACGGGTTTACAAAGGTACACACAGCCACGGGTCAGGGGACCAGAGTCAGCAGTCATCTTCCTCATCCATCTCCAACGGTACAGGAAATTAGGAAGGGAAATATATTCAGAAGGTCCCAGATCCCTCCAAGACGATTGGATCCTTGGATTTATTCCGAGGATCCAATCGTTGACGACTGGAGCAAGACAGCTGTTGTGGGTCTTCAGCTGTGTCTTGCTCTTGTTAATTCTCAGATTATGCCACTTTTGGCCGCCAGACGGTAAATATAATATATATATATATATATATATATATATATATATATATATATATATATATATATATATATATATATATATATATATATATATATATATATATATATGTATATATCCGGTGCAAATTCCTATATGCTCTTATTTGGATTCGAACCCACGAGTGAGGTGCAAGTTTAAGCAAACAACTTAGTATTCATGAACGCCTTGTGTGTGTCTGTGTGTGTGTGGGGGGGGGGGGTCATGAGATCAATGTTGCTTGTGATAACGTTCCTCACACCTCATACCCCCACACACCTCATACCCCCACACTCCACCACCCCACACGCCTCATACCCCCACACTCCACCACCCCACACGCCTCATACCCCCACACTCCACCACCCCACACACCTCATACCCACACACTCCACCACCCCACACACCTCATACCCCCACACTCCACCACCCCACACACCTCATACCCCCACACACCACCACCCCACACACCTCAAACCCCCACACACCACCACCCCACACACCTCATACCCCCACACTCCACCACCCCACACGCCTCATACCCCCACACTCCACCACCCCACACACCTCATACCCCCACACTCCCCCCCACCCCACACACCTCATACCCCCACACTCCACCACCCCACACCCCTCATACCCACACACTCCACCACCCCACACACCTCATACCCCCACACTCCACCACCCCACACACCTCATACCCCCACACTCCACCACCCCACACACCTCATACCCACACACTCCACCACCCCACACACCTCATACCCCCACACTCCACCACCCCACACACCTCATACCCCCACACTCCACCACCCCACACACCTCATACCCCCACACTCCACCACCCCACACACCTCATACCCCCACACTCCACCACCCCACACACCTCATACCCCCACCTCCCACCACCCCACACACCTCATACCCCACACACCTCATACCCACACACTCCACCACCCCACACACCTCATACCCCCACACTCCACCACCCCACACACCTCATACCCCCACACTCCACCACCCCACACACCTCATACCCACACACTCCACCACCCCACACACCTCATACCCCCACACACCTCATACCCCCACACACCTCATACCCCACACACTCCACCACCCCACACACCACAGACCCCCACACTCCACCACCCCACACACCTCATACCCCCACACTCCACCACCCCACACACCTCATACCCACACACTCCACCACCCCACACACCTCATACCCCCCACACTCCACCACCCCACACACCTCATACCCCCACACTCCACATACCCCACACACCTCATACCCCCACACTCCACCACCCCACACACCTCATACCCACACACTCCACCACCCCACACACCTCATACCCCCACACTCCACCACCCCACACACACCTCATACCCCACACACTCCACCACCCCCACACACCTCATACCCCCACACTCCACCACCCCACACACCTCATACCCCCACACTCCACCACCCCCCACCTCACACACCTCATACCCCCACACACCACCACCCCACACACCTCATACCCCCACACTCCACCACCCCACACACCTCATACCCCCACACTCCACCACCCCACACACCTCATACCCCCACACTCCACCACCCCACACACCTCATACCCCCACACTCCACCACCCCACACACCTCATACCCCCACACTCCACCACCCCACACCCTCATACCCCCACACTCCACCACCCCACACACCTCATACCCCACCCCACACACCTCATACCCCCACACTCCACCACCCCACACACCTCATACCCCCACACTCCACCACCCCACACACCTCATACCCCCACACTCCACCACCCCACACACCTCATACCCCCACACTCCACCACCCCACACACCTCATACCCCCACACTCCACCACCCCACACACCTCATACCCCCACACTCCACCACCCCACACACCTCATACCCCCACACTCCACCACCCCACACACCTCATACCCCCACACTCCACCACCCACACACCTCACCCCCACACACCACCCCACACACTCATACCCCCACACTCCACCACCCCACACACCTCATACCCCCACACTCCACCACCCCACACACCTCATACCCCACACACCTCCACCCCCACCCCACACACCTCATACCCCCACACTCCACCACCCCACACACCTCATACCCCCACACTCCACCACCCCACACACCTCATACCCCCACACTCCACCACCCCACACACCTCATACCCCCACACTCCACCACCCCACACACCTCATACCCCCACACTCCACCACCCCACACA